TAATATAGGGGCCTAAATAGTCACCAATACTGTTTTGGGGGCTTCTCATTATTATTGTAGTATAAGGGGCCCCCAAACCCTACTCTAATTACTAAGGCCCTTACATTACTTGGAGTCAGCTTCTTTGAGCAAGGAGTTTTGGATTCTCTCGAGGTTTCCAGCCTACCACCGCAACTGCCCATTTCTTTGAGTCAGAATCAGGATTCGCATCGGCTTCTCTGAGTCTTTGGAATGCGAGTATCGTGGAGTTTAGGCTTCAGGGCTCAGATGGTCTGAGCTTTTTTCTGCTTCGCCCATAGTTCATATGCGCTTTCCCCCAAGGCCCCAGACTAAAACGAACCCGAAAAGGGGTTCCCCTAAACCCAAATCCCCAAACCCAAAGCTCTAAGCCCTAAGCCCTAAACCCTAAACCCAACCAACCTGGCACCCTAAACCCTAAACCCTAAACCCTAAAACCTAAAATGCAACTGCGCAACAACCATGGCCATCTTACTTTCGCTCGAGCCTGGAGCCTTCATCAAGTCTTGTCATAAAAGTGCCCAGGGTTTAGGGTTTAGGGAGCGTTTGGGGTTTCGGGTAGGGTTGGGTTTAGGGGTTTAGGGTTTGGGGTTTAGGGTTTAGGGTAGGGTTAGGGTTTAGGGTTTTTTTAAGGGTTTAGGGAGAGATAGAAAGCCATGAGAGTGTTCCGGGGACGCGAAGCTTCAGCGCAGGCGGGCCAGGGAAAGCAAGAGTCGGCTCTGAGCGAGAGCGAATCCTTGCGGGTGGAGGAGAAGTTGCACGAGGCTGCCGGGCTGATTCTTCGGGGGGAGGATCAAAAGAATGGGGTCTTAAGGGCTTTAAGGGTTATAAGCCTTGCGCTGTAGTGATTTGACTGGTCATTCTCGTTATGATTTGTGTTTTATACATTTTTTATAGTCATTAGTGCTGCTTTTCCGGTTTTCGCAGTATCATCGTCGTTACTTTGCACTTCTGTACGACGACAACGACAGCTACTACCGGCCCTGCGGCCGCCATGACATTGCCAGATCTAGTGGTCCCTAAACCCTAAACTAAGGCACGGCCTCCGTTGTGCTACGCGTAGCCGTGCCGCAGTGACGCGTTTCCCGACGCGTCGCAGGTCCGGAGCCGTCTATCGCGAAGGACCCGCGCGAAGCGAGCGCGCTGCGGCCGTCCAGTGCCGCGCCACCCAGCCCGTTTGC